CCCCCCGGAGTTGGAGCACCAGAAAGGCGGGCCGCCCAAGCCCGCGGCCGGAATGGACACGCAAGGGCAGCCTACACCTCGCTTCTCCTCCCCCTTTCCTGTGGCGCGTCCGGCCCCCCCCCCCCTCGTCCCCCTTCCCCGGGTCCCCTCCCCACCCTCTCGCATGTGGCCTCCACCAAGCGAGGCCCAGCACATTGACCTGCACTTGGACATAGTGGCAGCTTTGCGGCGCCTCGAGGCGCTCCTCTTCACACTCTTCTCCTCGGCTCTCTGCTGCCGTGGGGTCTACCCAGCAGGTACTTGGGAGGCAGCCGCTCCTTGCGGGGCGCATGATCCTCCCCCCCCCTCGATCCTCTCGGGCCCAACCCGTTGCCCGGTCTAACCCTTGGCGTTTGGTGCGGATTTGGTCCCGGTGGCAGGATGCTTTAATTGGGTGGATCCAGCTGTGTTCGACGGGAGAGCCAGCATTGCCGGGCCCATGGGCTGGGTCGTCCAGGATGCCCGGCTCCGGGAGACCTTGTCCCATGGCTTGCGAGAGATATTGAACCCACTCAACCGACCGGTGCGCATCATGCCCGTGGGCTTTTTCTTTCCTTTCGGCCGCCTGCGCCGGCTGGGATCCAGCTCCCCGTGACCCCGCTGACCCCCATGCACATGTGTGGTCCACACATGTCCGACCCTCTCCCCGGGTGACGAAAAATCATGCACCCGCACCGCCTCCCTTGCCACCGCCACCGCCACCGCCACCGCCACCGCCACCGCCACCGACACAACAATCAGCCGATCACGGTCGCCCTGGACCTGGTCCAGTCGGCCCCATTCTGCTGTGGACATTCGACCCGCTGTGCGGCCGCGCGCCCCGTCGTCGTGGAGCGCCTGCTCTGTGCCATCCTGGAGACCCACATCGACCACCTCTCCTGCCCTCTCCTGCAGGCTGCCTGCAAGCCGACTGACGATGTGCTGTCGCTGTTCGGCCAGTGCCTCGACCTCGGCACTCGGCCAGTGCCCGCAGCCCGGCGATGCCCGCACTGCCACCTCGCCGAGCCCATGTGCCAGGCCTGCCAGGTCCCGCCCAAGGAGAGTGCCGCTGACACATTTGCCGTGCGCATTGGCCAGACACCCTCCGACCTGGCGGCCGGGTCCTTCATTGCGACCTGGCTCCCGACCGGGTCATCTGCCAGCCCGAGCGGGGAGAATCCCCTGGAGGCCGAGCTACAAGTGCAAGTCCAGCCTGATGATGCCGATGGTGGCACCGGTGGCCAGAGAACCTTGACGCCGCTGGGGCTTGTGGGACTTGAGGAGCTTGGCTTTCCGAGCTCCTTCCAGGTATGTGAGCGTGGTGCCAGGGGCGGGGGCTTTTCCTTCTTTGCCTTTCCTCTTCCTGGGGGTAGCCTCTTCTATTGGGGGGTTTTGTCTGGGGGGGGGGTCATCCGGCGAAGTGCGCACTCGCACACGCGGATGGCCTATCGCCAAGATGCACCGGTAAGCTGACTTCCGCGAGGGCATCCCAGTTGGAGGTCTTCCATGAGACACCGTCGGGCATCTAGTCGCGAGCAATCTCCGAGAAGACCTCGCCCACATCAGACACACCCAGCTCCGGGTGCGCCAGACCATACCGCAGAGCCACCACAGCAGCCGCATGCTCGGCGGTCTTCTTGTTCATGAACCAATTCTCGCTACCAAAGGCCTTGCCAGAGTCCAGGGTCACGGTGGAGCTGGCACGAGAGAGAGAGAGAGGGAGATGTTAGGGGAAGTTGCCCATCGGCGTCCCACCACCCCTGGAGTTGTCCATGTTTCAAGGGAGGGGGGGGGGAGAGAGTCGCACGCGCGGCGTGTGGCAACGTACCGGAACGCCCGCCGGGTGTCACACCGGACAGTTTCGTACTTGAGTGAGTCGCTGGTCAGACCGTTGAGGATCTGCTTGGGAGGGTTGCCCGGGGTGAACAGCCGCGGCGTGAGCTTGTTGTCCGGCGACGTAAGCGGAGGAGAGAGAGGGAGAGAGAGAGAGAGCAGGATCATCAGCAAGCGGCGGGCAAAAAGCCGGGTGGAAAGGGGAAAGGAGGGTGCACCGAGCGCAGATGGTGCCCGGACTTGGCATACCTTGAGCGGGACACGCACGACACCGTCCTCCGAGGGCTCCGGCTCGCCGGTCGGGCCAAGGCGCAGGCGCTTGGCCGACGGCTCGCCGGTCCCCGGAAGCGGAGCATGCTCCCGTCGGGAGGCCTCAATCCCCCGGGCAAAGTAGTCGAACATGGCCGGGTCCTCCACCAGTGCATACAGCTCGCGCAAGTTCAGGCAGGGGGCAATCCGGGGGGCCAGTTCCCCGGCAAAGCGCCGGTCTTCCTCCTCGAAGTCCGGGCAGAAGGTCCGCCCCGGGTCGGCCACCGAGCACATCTGATGCAAGATGTACTTGGCATTTTCCAGGTTGTGATCCAGCTGCGCGCAGATGCGCATGAAGTCCCGGGCCACCTGGCGCAGGGGCAGCGGGCCCTCCCGACGGAAGACCGAGCAATTCCAATGCGCCGCCCGGGCCAGCATGATCGCCCCATCCGGGTGCATGGACTCGCGCAGGCGCTGGATATCCTCGAAGGAGTGCACGAGACTCGACACGCCACTGTGTTGGCGCGAGGAGGAGAGGAAAGAGAAAGGGAGGCCCAGCCACCGGGCCCGGTATGTCAGTTAGACAGCATCCCAGGCACTGGCGCAGCCAGGGGCAGGGGCAAAAGCACCCGCGGCAAGCTCGTGTGCGTGGGCGTGTGCGTGTGCGTGTGGGTGGGCGGGGGGGGGGGGGGGGGCGAAGGAAATCCAGCAAAAGAGTTGGCGCACTTGAGCAAGATGGCGGCCCGGCTTCCGGCCGCGGAGGACACCGGGCCAAACCAGCTGGTCGTTGGGGCCTCTCGGGGCCGGGTGTGCGGGAACCGAGTGTGGATACCGATGGCCGCCACGCCGGTGCGCGACAGCGTGTCCACCAGGCGTTGCGATGCTTGGAGCGACCGGATACCCGGGATGCCAGGGGCCGGGGCATCCTCGGCGAGGGCTGCTCCGCCGGAATCAGGGGCCTCGGCCTGGCCGCCTGGAACTGTCAGAACCTGGGGCAGCGGGGCATTGGTATTCCGAGCCTGGGTGTGAGCTCGCAAGACCTCCTCGCGCTCCTCGGCATCGACAATGAAGCGGATCTTGCAGGTAACCGGGCAGGACAAGTCCGCTGCCTTGAGGGCCTTGAGGATCTGCACGGCGGCCAGCCGTGTCCCAGGGCGGTTGGGGGGAGGGGAAGATGAGTAGCAGCAGCAGCAGCAGCAGCAGCAGCAACAGCAGCAGCAGCAAGAAGGCAAGGTCAGTGCGCGGCTCCGGTCAAATGGCATCTTTCGGCAAGAGCCCCGGCCTCGTGCGAAGTGGGACGTACATTGACGGCGCGGTCGCACGGGTCCAACAGGGCGGACCCCATGCCGCCGGAGGTGCTGAAGGGCTTCGGACAGCCCATGTTCAGATCGATGGCTGCCACATCGCGGTGGACCATCTTGGCAACGCGCACAGCGCGCTCCGGATCGGATGTGCCCTGGGGAGCAGGGGTCAGCAGCACGCACAAGCATGTGTGCCGGCAAAGGAGCACAAAGGTGGGGATGTCGGGACGCACGATTTGGAAAATGACGCGGCCGCGCTCCCGGGCGCACGTCTGGAAGATCACCTTTCCAGTCGAGTCGACATAGTCCACGGTGCCCAGGGCGTCTGGGAAAGGTAGTAACAGGGGGGAGGGGACGGCAGGCGTGTTAGGCCGACGAGACAGGGATGGGGAGGAAGGGGCGACCGACGCCGAAACGCACGATTTTCCACGCGAACCGTGCGCAGCATGCTATGATCGACAAGCTCCTCGCCATACACGCGGTCGGCCCCGTACTGCAGGGCGAGGATCCGCTGGAGGAACAGCGGGCCGGCAAGAGGGCAGGGAGAGGGGGAAGAGGGC